TATATATATATATCTATATCAAAATCTAAATTTTAATTTAATTTTTAAATGCTGCAGATTTCCTAAAGATTTAAGCCAAGCAAGACACTGTTTAAATTCGTGCCACACCATCTGCACTGTTTTATGTGTTCATCTATACAATCAATAGCATGGTAAACAACATGCTACATATAAAAAAAATAAAGCCTGTAAAAAAAAGAAAAAAAAGGGAAGTAACATTTTAAATGACAAACAAAAATCCCTGATATTCCCCGACTTGGACAACAAAAATATTAAATTCCCTGACTTTCAATGTCTTGAATAGACAATTAATTAAAAATTCATTTATATTCCAGATGCATCAAATCCTTTGTGGATGGAAGAAAAGAAAAAATATTTCAGAGATTAAAAGCGATGCCCTCGGCCGAGCGTAAGACACACGCTATTAAACCAGTATTATAAACTACTGCACAAAAGGAGATGAATATCAGTGGGCCTGCAGGAAATCTGGAAGTGTACAGGGATCACAGTATCTGCCTGATTTTAAAGTAGGTCTGAGGTCTGCTCAAATTAATTAAATCTTTCAATCGCTCTATGCATAATGATAGACCGAAGAACAAAAATGACCTAGACATAATCAGGTCTTTAAAGTATTAATTATAGTAGAGTTGAAAGGTAACAGCACTGTTCTTACTGTACTAATTCACAAATTTGAGATCTGATGATGACGAAAAACATTGAAAAATAAAAAGTTAAGTCAACTTATTATTGTAAAGCAACTTGCTGCACAATTTACCCAAGTACCACAGTTGACTTTAAGCCGAGTCAACTCATAAATGCTGTACAGCAAGCTGCCTTACAATTTTAAGTGTCAATGTTTTGTTTTTAGAGTGAATTGATGAGGATTGGACTACTCTTTATAGTCATTAACTTCAGTTTAAACGAATGCATGAGGTAAAGGCTGAAACTAGGGCTGTGCAATATGACAAGATGTATATAGTAAGGACAAAAGAAAGCTTTATAGTTTCATATGCTCTATTGTTTATTTAGTGGTGTCACAAATCGAATTGCTTACCGTAGGCTAATACTTTTTTATAATTTATAGGAGTGCAATATGCCATTACAGCTGCAGATAGAAACATGAATAACAGCATGGTGAAAAAGCTGCAATCTTGAAAATGATGTTCACATTTTGTATGTTATTTATCAACATTTTATTGGCACTTTTATGTTGGACCTGTTCTCATTCATTTTATATTTTAATAACATTTATTTTATGTTTTTACAGTTTCAATCAAACATTTGCCCTGTAAGTATATGGATAGGAACATTTGACTAAAACTAATAATTGATTGAATTTACAGAAATAGTACGGTCTTGTAATATGTATTGTTATCGGGTTATTAGATTACATGTAGTGCGTTATTTGTCATGTTGCTAAGCCCTAGGTGCAAATTGTGTAAAATCTTCAAAAATATACAGTTTAAGGATTCATTCTTTTATTTTCTTGTAGGCTTAGTCCCTTTATTAATCCGGGGTCGCCACAGCGGAATGAACCGCCAACTTATCCATCAAGTTTTTACGCAGCGGATGCCCTTTCAGCCGCAACCCATCCCTGGGGAAGGTTTAAGGATTCAGTGTTATAAGAACATTTTAAATAAGAAATTGACATTCTTTGAATTTTTCATGTGCTGAAGACTTGTCTTTGCACTCATCTAGAAAACAAGGGAAAAATGAATAAATTTATGGGCCATTCTACAGAAAAAGTGCAGTTTTTGTTTGGGAAAATGTCAAAAAAAAAAAAAAAAAAAAAAAGCAGACACCACATCAAATGATTACTTTTGACTTTATGGACACACAAATGACAGTGTGTGTGTGTAATATATATATATATATATATATACATATACATATATACACACACACACATATATATACACACACATACATATATATACACACACATCATTTTTTTTGTACATTTAAGACTTCCATCTACCATTTTTGTCACTGGTGTTGCCAATTTGTCAAAATTAAAGGTTATGAAATATTATTTCTTAATTTGTTTATGTTACCAGTTACAGACAAACAATGATATTAAAAAAAATAAGGAGATTGTTTTAACCAGGTTTGTTAAAAGTGTTGAACTTAGTGCAACCACACATTTGCTATATTGGGACGTCAAAAGTCATGTCAACATTTGTTTTTTATTGTACAACAAGTGATTTTTATTGCAAAATGATAAATTTTTGTTATATTGTAACACCAGTGATAAAAAATTACTTAGTCTAAATATATATAAATATACACACACACACACACACACATATATA